TCTTCGCAAAGCTCAGAGCATTCGGTTGGTTGCTGCGACCTTCCTGTGTGTCAAATGACGAGATCGTTTGAAACGATGAATCTTAGGTCCTTCTCATGTGGGATAGACGAGGAGATATCCTCCGATATGATACACACCGAAAAGATCCGGGCCACCAATCGGGAGAACAGCATATTTGTCACGGTTTATCGGGAGTCGCCATTCAACGGACCAGTTATGTAGCTGATCAAGCGAAGCTTGGAATCTGTCGGCATCCTCGGGGCAAGATATTTCAAACCGCGGTTTGAGGTCATCAGCGTAGACTAGACATTCGGTTTGAAGTGTCGCTGGAAGATTGTTGATGTACAGTTTCAATAACTGGTCCACGGACGGAGCCTTGAGGAACCCCACTGGTCATAAGCACGGGACAGAGTTGTTCAACTTCACTTGAATGCTTCGTGCTTCCAGGAAGTCCGAAATCCAGGACAAGAGGTTTCCGGGGACACTAACTCTTTTAAGGGCTGGTTTGCCGAACTACCTCCTCTTGGTGCCAGCCGGGTGGTTCGGGTGTACGCCGCTCCAGCTAGGTGTTTGGCGACAATGTTCCACCTCGGTAAGACATTGTATTCCAGCAATTGTACTGATTTCATGGGGAGTATTGGGCCCTGTTTGGTGATCTAACAAACAAAGACGCATGAACTGACCATTCGGTCAGCGCCTCCCAATGGGCGCGATTCCCTACATTCGCCCTGCTGCATTGCGGGTAGGTTATTTAGCCAAAGGCTCGGAGTGGAGTCCCCTAAGTCAACTCCCTACTTCGGCTTGGGCAACCGCGTAGTATCACGTTCTCTTACAAGACCATGGACTGTACTACAACGTGCTCACCAGCTACCGTTTCTGCTTCTCACATTCAAGCGACTTCATCAAACGCCAATTGTTTGTTTGCTACCAATCCTTACTTTCCCTTACCCGATTCATGTGTTCAACAATCTGGCTGCGATTCCGGTTGCTCCGCAGATCAAGGAGTTCAACCTATGGCTCTCCTTTGTCCCCGAGCCTCGTTCCATCTGGCTTGCTTCAACGTTCGGACACTCATGCAGGTTGGACAGCAACGCGGTCTAACGCGCACCCTAGTCCCTAGACATTGATATCTGCTGCCTTTCAGAAACCCGGTTGCAAGACCCCAGCACTATGCTTGTATGTAATGTAATCTCAGCGGTCTAGTAACTAGACATAGAGCTTACATTGACATCCCCCAGTGACCACGAAGCCAGATATCAGTTGCGTCTTTCTGGAGATCCAGAAGCATCCTCAGCTGGTTTGGCTGGTGTAGGTATAGCACCAAGTGGCAAGGCCGAGGCGGCACTACTGGCCTGGTTCCCGATTAACAGCCGACTATGTGCAGTTCGCGTGTCCGCAACGATGATGTGCGTAGGCGAGTACTAGGTAATTATAATCATGCTAGCTCCCTAGAACAACAGATAACACTGAATAAGTTGCGTTGGCTCGCGCACGTGCTACGAACGCCTGGTCACCGCTTACCTAGGAGGGCCTTGTTTAGTCTGCCAGGTGTAGGGTGGCGCAAGGCTCGCGGTGGACGGAAGTTGACTTGGCAACGGGAAATGAAGACACTGACGACCAAACTGGGTACCGTTGATCCGTCTCGCCTTCCGGGCTGGAGTCCACGTGACTCGCCTTGTGCTTGGCTCGAGACTTTACAGGACATGGCTCGCAACCGACACCAGTGGCGCGTCTGCTGCCGTCTCCTAATTGGATTGCTTGTTTGAAGTGTGTTTGGTGCTGAGTTATCTGCGGGGTAATGGCTGATTATGACGCGTGGCAGTGAAAGCCGCAAGGAAGCTGTCTCGCCGATGCCGCCTTATCTTTGCACGATAGCCAGCTGTTTGTGACGGTATGTTGTCTACACAAGGTGTAGGCGCCTTGACCCTGAATGTTTGCTCAGGGCATTAAGGTTTTCAGGTAAGTCCCCCTTCTCTCCCTCTACTTATTCTTTATTTCATAGGTCCTCATGGTTGTATGGCAGCGAAGCATCAGTTCAAATGGCTGATGTACTGCTGTTGATGATGATGAGTTCGGCTTTGGCGTTCATGTAGAATCAACAATCACCGCAAAGAGAGACGCAACTTGTTTGTGATCTCCATGTACGCTCCAACGGACTGCAGTGGCGGCACGGTCAAGGACGAATTCTACCGGGATCTACATCAGCTCTTGACAAGTGCTAAAATGTCGGATGTCATTGTCCTTGCTGGGGATTTAATGCACGGGTTGGCCGCCTTGGTGCTCATCACGCGCTCGATGAGAACCGCTCTGATAACGGAGAGAGACTTCTCACCTGCGAAGACAACCATCTGTTTATCTCGAGCACTAACTGCAGGCGTACGAGGAAGCGTTCCGCAACGTGGCGTCCCCCTTCACTAACACAACCGTGGTCTCAAAGTGATCACATTACAATTAGCTTCAGATGGCGTGGCAGCGTGCTAGGCTGCAGGTCCTTATGGTCCATCTTCGTTGGTTCACATCATGCACTGGTCTGCGCGAAAATATGTATGTGTTTTGGGGGTCACGAAGCACCGCAAGTTTGGTTTAAATGGATTAACTTTCTGCTCTTTATAAACCAGGGAATTTCAGTGTATAAATCTGTTTTATCTCGGCTCTCGTCGTCGTCGTGGAGATCTGATTTACACAAGACGCATACTCAGGCGACTTGGGTAGTGAGCTCCAACAATTTTTCCAGCTCAGCAGAGATAGCCCAACGCGCATGCACAGCTGAAAACACTTTAAACTGAAGAAGCTCTACGTCTGTCCAGCGATCACTCTATCCACCAGAGCGGTGAACGACTATAACAACTGGCCGGATACTGTGGTCAGTGCTTCTACCGAGTCGGCCGGTGGTCTGCACACTTGGCTTGTATTCATAAGGTCACCGGTTCGAATTCGCGTAGGGGCTGGCGTTCTCGCGGTTTACTCAGCCCAAACCCAAATGGTTTTGGTCGCGCTGCAGCGAGGCACCATTACCGCGTACAGCTGACACTTATTTTGCCGGCCTGTAGCCTAAAGGTAACAAGCATGTCTTGTAATCTGACGGCGCGAGTTCTAGCCTGCGTAGGGGCAGGGTATATATATATATATATATATATATATATATATATATATATATATATAGCAACCGTCTATGAATAGACAGAAGCCATCAGAAACCATGCGACTCAAAAGAAGGTACAGAAATAGTAAAAGAAAACACAAACCAACACATAAAAGTCCATGGTTTCGTTAGAGGGCGAGATACTACCCGGTTGCGCAAGCCAAAGTAAGGTGTTGACTTAGGGGACACCACCCCGAGCCTTTGGCTAATTAGCCTGTCCGCAAGGCAGCGGAGCGAATTCAGGGAATCGCGCCCACTGGGAGCCGGTGACCGATTGCTCAGTTCATACGCCTTTCCTTTGTTCCTTTGTCAAACAGGGACCCAATGCTTCCCAGAATTACGGCCTAAAGTCGCTGGAATACAATGCTTCGCCAGGATGAAGCAAGGGGTAGTGACCCTATTTAGTGGCGAGTCACGTCCGCCACGTCACAGTGTTGTTAAACGCACATATGTGGCTTTTTATAGGGAGAACGCTTGCCAGGTGAAAACCCATCACATCTTGGAACACTGCCACTGAACCATTTTCTGGAACGGGAATATCCCGAATCACCCAGCTGGCACCACGAGGTTGTTCGGCAAGCCAGCCGTAGGGGCAGGGTGACCCTCGCAGTATTCTTAGAACACGCGCGACCGGCAGCGAAGTGTTGGTACTGCGTATAGGTGTTCTGCTGATCCCTTCCTTTTCTTTTCCTCTGCAGAGAAAGTTTCAAGAATCTGATGAATTTACACCTGCTTAATTTGTCTGGGTCTTGGTGTTATCCGTGATTATGTTCACCTACTGTGACATTCCCTCTCGCTATAACATGCACCATCCTCACACTGATCGGGAATCGATGAAGCTGACAAGGATTATCCCATCTGCTTTCTACTATTTAACCTATCAACGGATACTCTGCAAGCTCCGCTAAATGTTTGTCAGTGGTAGCCATTACTCTTGGATCCCAAATTTTATAGACGGAAAAACCATGCAAGTGAGGGTGGACAAATTCTTTCTCAGCCAGTGCACATGACCAGTGGATTTCCGCAAGGTTCTGCACTTGGACCTGAACTTTTTAAGCTCTTCATTAATAACTTTCCTGGGGCATTTCAAACGGAGTGTCTAATCTACGCTGATGACGTTGCGCTATGGTCTAAGGTACGCGAACTTGATATCGCTGGTCGAATGCAGGATTCGCTGGATCTACGACCCCACTGGTCCATCAAATGCGGCCCACCCATCAGTGTTACGGTGGTATTACTGATTTTCACGTTGTAGCCCTGAGGTCACCTATGTAGCGTAGCTCAGAGTGCGTATAAGCTGAATAGACCTATCGATTAAGAAGACTAAATGCTAACAACTGGCGGTAAGCACAGACCATGCAACTTGGGTCAATGTGTAAACTGTCGCATCGCCTTTAACATATATTCTCGTCATAATGATTACGCACGGTCATAGCGCAACGAAGTGGTCAATGGAACGACCAAAGGTATGAAGAATCACATTTGCAACTTAATCCGGTTGGTGCATACGATCTTGCTTGACATTGATGTCCATACTGATCCTGCCCGTTGTTCGGTACCATTATCAACACAGCTACATCACGAAGTCTATGTTGCCTTTGCTTCCGACAATATTTGTTCTTTCCTATCACTTCACATTTGTTTATATTATTTTTATTATTTGCTTTTTTTGCCTCTGCCTACTCACGTTTACCGGTATGATCCGAGACAATTAGCTGCATTTCCGTTCAGTGCTCACATCGTGGTTGGACGATGACTGTACTTGATCGCTTATTCGAGCAAGATTTTAGTGACTGTTTTTCGGTCACTGCTTTCCATATCCCCCCACACTGACGATATACTACTTCTTTTTGTTACAGCGCTATATGTGGTACTTTGTCCCCTTTCCATGATCGGTGCCGACGGGCACTTGAGCGGTTACATCCAGTGTGTCAGCCAAGTGTTTCATGTCAAGGAACATAGTGTCAAGTTATTGAAGGTGACAGCCACGCGGGACTGTTTTTGCCATGACTCCCTGAATATTCTCGTTCGCTGGTTAGAATCCCGTGAATCCGATGATGACCGTCTTGCAAGAAAAAAATTCTTGCATGTTTGTTCTGTTGGTCGCTTCATTATGGCTAAAGGCTTACGAGAAAGCAAGGTATACCGTGGACAAGTGAGCCTTACATCGAGTAACGCTTATTGCCTATTTTTCGCTTTTGTTCTCTATTAATCTTGCATGATTCCGCCTACTACGTCTGACCCCAATGGCTGCGAACTATCTTCGTGCCCCATTTGCCACGTTCCCGTCTCTTTCCTCAGCTCTGTGCACGCCTCATTAGCTAAGGGTAACATCTCAGCATTCCGTATACGCATGACCCACCACATTAACTAGGTTAACATAGTAATTCTCTTGAAGAGTCTTCTCCGCCATGTTGCACGTCCTCACTGGCACGCCCCTATTCCTCGTTACTTCCAAAGAATATCCTTCAACGATTTGAATGTATACCTTGAAGTATTTGTCCTGTCTCTCACAACTACACGCCTTTTTTTCTTCCATCTAGGCCAGAGAGTGCGTTATGTGGATCTATCAACCGGGGTTTTCTGAAGCCGAAACTCACCCCGCCCTTCTACCCTGCGACCCAGTCAAGTGTCCGTCGTGGCCAGTGTGCTTGGTCTCTCGACTCAGCTGCCGCGTTCACTTTGTCCACAAACACGGGGCGTTCTTCACATGCACTGCTGTTGACGATTCTTTATCTCCGCTGTCTACACTTCTCGGAATCTGTACCAGTTTCCCAAACCGACACAAACTCAATCCCGGTCGCCGAATTGTGTTCCACAATCTATGGCTCTGTCCAATGCCCTCCACTGCATTTGCTCCTTATAATGGGGTAGTTATCTTGGGCATATTCACCGCCTGTTCCCAACCGCCCTTCTCTCTCATCAAAAATAACCAAGCACCTATACCAGAGGAGCCTTTTTTGTCAGATTTGATGCTGCCCAACAAATTGATAGATGTCGAATCATTAGTCAACCGTCTCTTGGACATTCTTTGCTCAACTCACACTTACCAACAACCAGCCAAGGTGAGCCTCCCCTTATCATAGTTAACTATGCTGTGTGGTTAACCCCAATACTGGCTCTGGATAGCGAACATGATCCAACCTCACGACTCAATTGGAACTGATATATGTGTCCTAACAGCTTGTTCCAAGCGCAGCATCATTCATCATCATTATACACGTTAGCTAGAGGTGGGAAACACCTCAGCTACTGTGCCGCAGTACATAAAAGAAAAGGAAAATAAATACAACAGTTGCATGCCAGATGAGCTCCCCGCAACGGAGTGGCATCGTTCCGGTAAGCTACCAGCCGGCTACTAGGCAACAAGAAAATTTATTATGTAAAATTATATTGCGCTACGAAATGAGATCGTGGTTGGAGGGGGAGGCCAAAGGGGATGGGGAGGGACAAAGAAACTCAACAGGAAAGCCACTGAAGTCGGCTCCTAGCCATGTTAGTAAGTGTATCTAGCCAAACGTGTTCATCGTCTTTTGAAACCCAACCACGGAGCCGTGAAGCTCCGACCGAGGCCAGCTCCTAAGTGAGGGCCTTCATTCCTTTGGACCAAGTCATCGCGTGGCCACCCCTCCTCTCCTTCCATCCACACCTCCGGCGCACAAACAACGCACGTCGCAGAAGTCAGTGGGTTGGCATGCGCAACATGTGGCCGAGCCATCGGAGCCTGGTGCGTGAAATAACGGTGCTGAGCGGTTTATTTCCTATTCCTTAAACAAGGCGTCGAACACCTCGTTGCTCACGCGGTGTTCCCACCAGATGTGAGCCAAACTGCAAAGGCTTCGATGGTCGAACGTAACTAGCCTCCTTATGTCCGCTGATTTTAGGGGCTAGGTTTCGCAGCCGTACAGTAGGCTCGAACGTACCGCTGCGTTGTACACTCTACCCTTCAGGGCGAGACTGATGTCGCGCCGGCGCCATAAGTGGCCAAGGTTAGCAAAAGTGCCTCCAGCTTTTGCTATACGGTTCGTGATCTCATCTTCAATCCCAGGGGCGCTGATACAACTTCCCAGGTAGTTGAATTTACGAACGACTTCTAGCTGATCCCCACCAAGACTCAGCGCAGAAGGCGATCCCTGCCAATCTTGGCTTTGCACTTAGATGGTGCGAAGCAAAGCCCGAAGCGGCTGACAGCTAGTGCTAATCTGTCCAATGCCACTTGACACGTCTGGAAGCTGTCACGGATTAGGGCAATATCGTCAGGATACTCCAAGTCAAGAAGTCGTTCTCCTGGGAGCAAATCCACACCTTCTAAGTCGTGTCCTGTGAACGCGATTTCCATGACTTCTTCAATAGCGAAGTTGAAGAGGAAAAGTGGCAACGGGCATCCTTGTCTCACACCGCTGGAGATATTGAAGGGTGGCGACAGCTTGCCGTAAGCCCTCACTCTACCTGAGCTACGCGCGTATAATGCTCGGATAAGATTTACATATTTCTCTGGCACAACTTTCCTAAGTAAACAATTTCAAAGAGCACATCGATCAACGGAATCGAAGGCACTTTTGATATCGAGGAACACGACTACAGTGCGCCGCCAATATTTGTGACGGTGCTCCAACAACTGACGCAAAGTGAAGATGTGGTCAATGCAGCCACGACCTCGACGGAACCTGGCTTGCTCTTCACGAATATCGCTTTCACGGGTGCAAATCGGTCTGGGAAGAATGACTGAGGCAAGCAATTTTGAGGCGATGGAGATCAGACTGATTCCTCTGTGGTTGCCGCATTCCGATCGTGAGCCACCGTAGAAAATTGGGACTATGACCGAGCGGCACCAGTCGGGTGGGACAGTTTCCTGCTCCCACAGTTTCACTAGTAAGTCGTATAAATCATTCACAAGAGCAGTTCCGCGAATTTGAAGAGAGATGGAGGTAGATCATCTGGCTCCGCGGCTTTATTTAACTTCAGCAGTGGTATCTCACGTTCGACTTCTGAGCTAGATGTTGGATGCAAAGAGACTGCCCAGGGAGCGGTGCGATCAGTTGCCGGCGAAAAATCTAATAGTTCCGACCGATTAAATTGCCTTTCAAAATGCTCAGCCAACGCTCCAAGCGTTTTGGTAAGTTGTGGATAGGCCGTCTACTCTCTTCACGTATAGTTTCACTAACACCAGGTCTTCTGCTGCCCGTTTTGCCAGTTGGCTGGTGTCAATGCGCTCACAACGTCGTCTTGGACGTCCGCAAAGACGCATCCGCAGGTCAGCACATACAAGTGCATGGTCGGTGTCCACACCTGTGCTCCAAATCGAGCGACAGTTCTGGACGCAGCCTCTCCATCGGTAACTTATCGCAATGTGATCGATTTGCGTCCATAGCTGATTTCGAGGCTGGTGGGCACCAAGTCACCCTCCGGCGGGTGCTGTGTCGGAAATTAGTGATCGCAAGAAATAAGCGAGCATCTTCACACCAATGAAGTTGCCGCTCACCGTTATTATTACGGGACCCTACCCCATGTTGGTCGCCCAGATACAGTTCATCAGTGGATAATTTTCCAACTTGAACGTTCTGATCCCCAGCCAGCACAACAGTGTCCGAGCTTTTTCTGTGGCGAAGCAGTTCGTTCAATTGGCGATAGAAGTCGTCTTTTACCGAATCATCGCTAGAGTTTGTGGATGCATAGGCAGCGATAACGAATAGGCGCCTGTTACTCCTGCGCGACTCCGAAACTTTGAACGAGCCAACCAACCGGACCGCACACAACCGGCTACTGATTGGAATTCAGTCAACCAGAGCAGTTTCAGCCCGGGAACTCAGGGCAATGCGAACACCAGCTTGGCCAGTGCTCGAAGCTGCATCGTCACCGGATAGGCCCAATGCGAAAGTACTGCTAGTGTCAACTGAAGGGGATCGCAAAGTGAGCACAGAGCTCGAGTCTTGCAGGCGAGTCTCCGCTAAGCAGTAGATATCGATCGAGAAGGTCTCTAATGTTCAGGCAAGTGCTGCCTGTTGACCGATTTGTAGCAATGAGCGTTCGTTGAGGCATGCCACTCTGGTAGATGATCGAGGGCTCCAAATGAAAGCCGGTGAACTGGACTTGGCTGCTTGTTTGGACATGGGCCTGTTGACAGGACAAGAATGACGCTCCGCGTTCACATGTGAGTTGAAACTAAAAGGTGAAAGCCTAGCAAAGCAATGTTGGGGAGGGCCAAGCATTGGAGGGTTGAAAACTGGGGGGATAAATGTGAAGCTGGTACGGGACGGTAAGAGAAAAAGCGTAAGAGGGGGAATGAGAAGATGGAAAGGCTTGAGCAGTAGCATCCAAACCGCTATCCACCCTGCTCGATGCAGCAGATAGGGCACCGTTGATTATCCTCTGCGGTGGCCAGAGCATCAAGAAACTGTTTGAAGAGAGATTCATTGTATTGCTTGGGCAGGATATTGTCAGGTTGTCCCAGCCTAAATAGGAGAACGATTAGGGTTCTCATCCAAAGCCTTTGGTTCAAAAATCTAACCGCGAGGCAGCGGGTTTGCGTTGGGCTACAAGGAGTCCGTTTTAAGGAATAAGGTGCCACCTCATTCCAAGCCCCAACCTGGAGGAGAAGGAGGCTGAGTTTGTCTGGTTTCTAACCATTGACCAACCTGGTATGAGTGGCTCTGGTGGTGCGAAAAAGCACCACTCAGCATAGATCAATGGATCGCTGAGGCACACAAACCATCGCACCACAGTAAGGTCCAGCCTCATTGCGATGAAACCACTTTAAGTCTAACACCGTCACGAGGATGGTGCAATCCGTCCCCTCCAGCAACGACCAAGAAAAGTGAACAAACTTTTTGGCATTTTGTTTTTTCACACGCCATTTTGTTCTTTTTTGGCCTTTCAATTGTTATGGCCTCAATCACATTGCTCAAATGTTTAAATATACAGTTCGTCCATTGATCGTGGTTTCGCACCATATCAGCAAATGTGTCGAGCCATTGGCAATCCTTATCCTTGGGGCCCCATCTAGGCATACGTACAGGGCCGATGATGACGAGACAGGTGGTCAGCGATTTCATGCTTTGTCGCCGAGTGGTTGGCTGACATCCACGCGTTCTATTCCAGTTCAATCCCGTGCGAGCAAATAAGGTGTGACGTGGTAAGCGCTCGCATGACATGTATAGGACATGGCCAAGCCACTACAACTGACGCGTCGCAACAAGCCGATTAAACGGAAAGCTCATGTCTCACAAGACGTGACATAGTATTACATCGTTGCAAACCCGGTGCTGCCACCACCCACGGGCTATCCTCCGCAAACATGTATTTTCGAAGATTGAAAGTCGATGCATGTCGTTCACACTAATCGACCAGGTCTCACTTCCATACAGCAGGACCGCGCGGACACAAGAGTTGTGGACACTCTCCTTTGAGGTGAGGGATATGTCCCGACGACACCATAAATGATTCCGATTGGTAACTGCCAACCGGGCTTTGGCGATGCGAAGTGGTACCTCCTTCCCATTAGTGCCATCAGCAGAAATACAGCTTCCGAGCTAGATAGTTGTCCACCGACTCTAGCAGACGACTCCCAGTCCTGGAGTAGCACTTTACACTTCAAGATAGAAAAGCAAATGCCATACCTAGACGCTTCAATCTCCAGACGTTTCAAAATGAGCTGTACACTCTGTGACTCGTCGCCGAGCGAAGCGATATCATCAGCATTGTCTAAGTCAGTCACACGATTGCCAGGATGAAGCTCAACACCATGATTTTTGGAACCTTCTAGAGACCTCAACAGAAAGTCCTCAATTGCAAAGTTGAAGAGGAATGGGGACAAAGGGAGCCTTTGTCGCACATCACCAGTAATATTGAGGAGTGAGGAAAACTTGCCACAGACCCTGACACATGGAAGTAAAACGCTCGAATGATGGCAGTGGACTTTTCGGGGACTTCATTTCTCAGTAGACAGTGACATAAAGGGGGCCGATAGACCGAGTCAAATGTAGCTAGGATGTCCAGGAAGACGACAATGGTTGGTGTGTGGTAAGGATGATGGTGTTCAAGGATTTGGCGTAGCGTGAAGGTTTGG